CTCAGCACCTTCTGGCTGTGGTTAGGCCAGCGCTGGCGTTGTGCTCTCTCCTTCTCTCCCAGGTGCTGGCCCCATGTGCCCTGACTGAGGAGGTCCTGAAAGAAGGTCTCTCTCTCCTCTGTAAGACTGGCAATGGCTTGGCCCACGCCTACGTGAAATTTGAAGCCAAATACAAGTGAGTGTGCAACACCTGCCCCAGGAGGCCTCTTCCTCCCTGAGCTCCCCATGGAGCTGCTGTGCTGTAAGGCCACTGATGACCAGCCGTGTCACCAGTGCAGAAGCATTTGCAGGCCATGTTCTCTGGCTGTCTGGCTTCCAGTCTGTGCCTCAGCATAGCTTATCCATCCTCAGCCCTGAGCTGGGGACTACCTCCAGCCAGATGCACTGGTGGGAACGTCAGTGTCCTCCTAGATGGAGGGGAGCCTACCCATGGCTCTGAGCTGTGGTGTCCTGGGGGGACCTGAACAGGTTGACCTCCCCACAGTCACTTTGAAAATATCCATTAAGCATCTCTCCTGTTATCTGCTAACCTTCAAGGCATGTGCTTGTAAGTACAGTGCCACAATGGCCTCAGGACAGTTCCGGAGCCTTAGCCCCATCAGTACACCCACATAACCCTAGACCTAACTGACAGGCCTCAGTAAGACTGTGTCTTTCAGCAGCCTCAGAAGTATCTCAACCAGCTTTTTCCCACTAGGAAAGTCCTTCCATACAGTCCTTGGTGTTTCCACTACTGTTTAACAGACCCACCCCCCCCAAACTTACCTTCTTTTCTGCTCTGGTTCTGGCCTCTCCTGGCAGATACAATTCAATGGGAATAAGTACTCCCTGTGCCAGGAAAGCAGGTCAAATCTTACCATTCAGTCTTCTTTACAGACTGTTTGGCCTGTCCCTATCACCTGCCTTTTTCTTCCTTCTCTCCAGCAAGGCTTCCTAGGACAGCAGAGAAGTGGGAGAGGAGGACGCCTTCTCTCCAGCAGTGGCAAGGAGCAAACCAAAAGCTGGTAGCAGGGGGAAATATGAGAAATATTTTATTCACATCTTCCCTTCCCCAGGGACTTGACAGACATCAGCCTCCTCGAATGCTTCATTCACCTGCGGTATGTGGATTTGTCAGAGAACAAGCTGCAAGATTTGTCTCCACTGAGCAACCTAACCCACCTGCTTTGGCTGAAGGTGGATGGGAATCTGCTTACCAGTGCAAGCATGGAGGAGCTGCCCTACCTCCAGATCATCAGCTTTGCTCACAACCGCATCAAGGATACGGAGGGCATTACTCACCCCCGCTTAGCCAGCCTCAGCCTGAAAGGTGAACCAGACCACCTCTCTTCATTCCCGGTCACATAGAACACTCTTTTTGGGTGGGATTAACTCTCTCACTGTTTCTTCCTCCTCTGGCACTCAGGAAATAAAATCCAGACAGCGCTGGGCCTGAGTCACGGCAAATTGTTCAGTCTGCAAATCCTGGAGCTGCGAGGAAACAAGCTAGAGAGCACAGCAGGGCTCAGTCTTCCCAAGCTCAAGAACCTGTATCTGGTAAGGGGTCAGCCAGCTTGGAGAGTGGGACAGAGCTGCTGCAGAGCCTGGGACCTCAGTCAGTGGGAGGAGAGGAAGAGGCTCTTGCTTTCAAAGCAGGATAATTTCTGCGCTAGCCCGTTCAGTTCAATCTTCTCAGCCTGAGAGAGGAATAGAATTCAGAGAGCTAAAGAGACAAAATCACTTCTTTGAGGTAGCTCCTTCTATGCTGTCTGCCCAGATAGTGCGAAGGCAGACTGACCACTGACCAGTAATTCCTCTGCAGAGAGTGGGGGAGTTGGCAGCATTCAGTGCGCCGGGCTCTTCCCTCCCGTCCTCCTACAGGAGAGAGGTATTCTGTTCTGGCAGTGCTAGGCAAGCCTGTATTCCCTGTGTCCCGGGACCCTGGAGGTCAGTGGGGAAAGCAACAGGTTTGTTCTGGGTAATAGGGAGAGGTGATGCCTTTCTTCTCTCTGATGAGCCTAATCAAATACTGGTTTAAAACCAGCACAATTATATGATTCACACTTTCAGCTGCCAAAAAAGAAACTGATTGAACATCATAATGAAACTAAGATAGGAGAAGCAATTTCCTAATATCATAAACAATTGCTTCAGGGAACATTTACTCCTAGAGACACAAGTGAAAAAAGTATGTGTGGCTTAGTCCCATGCATCACACAGTGCTACAGCTTGCAAAGACTAGATAGATGTCTTGAGTCACTACCTCTTAAAAAGCAATTAAAGATGATAAAGGCTTTGAAAAGCTATATGGTTTCTTTTCATCAAGACTCCCTGGCAGAAAACACTGTGGAGATTTGCTTGCTGAGATTGCCCACAATTTTCTGTTGGAAAACTGAGATTTTGTGACTAGACGTGCTCGAAAAAGGGGTGAAGTGGATAAGTCACTAGATACAATACAGCATTTCACAGTAAAACCAGTCACTTTAGTGAATGATTAGAGAGAAGCAAACACTAGAAAACAACTAGAAAAACTGACTCATTTCTCAGGAATTTTTGGGGCTTGAATTTGTCTCCCATGTCCGCCTGCTCATTAAATCATTTTGGAGGGGTGTCTCTTCCAGTAGCACCTTGCTTTCTGTATAAAAATTTTGGTATTACATGAACCATGGATAGATGTAACTGATGCCTCAAGACAAAGGGTTCAATTGAAAGGAACCGAACCAAATTTGGTTAATGTATGACATAGTTGCAGATGAAATTTAGCTTTAAAAAAGTTATATCTACTAGCAGAAAGACTACGAGCCGGCTGCGTACCATGTGGCACTTGGTTGGGGGATCACTGCTGTCAGCAGGGCTGTGTTGGTTCCTGGTCATTGTGCAGCAGCAGCGACAAAGGCTACCTAGAGCAAGGCCGGGTATGCAGGAAGGGGAGAAGGAAGCACAGGGAACATATTACAGTAGCTTTCCATAAGAAATGGTGGCATCATGTCTATGTGAAGGACTGGTATCTAAGGTAAGGTGACAATGTTGTCATTTAATTAAAGGTGTCATAGGAAATGTTATTTGATTTGAGGAAAAAAACCCCAACCCCTCAAAAAAATCCATTCTGCATTGTGCTGTTAGTGCTTGCAGGGCCAGAGCCATTAAAACTATTCACACTGAAGTAATGAAAAAAGTGAGAGTGATGGGAGGTTACTATTCATTTTACAGACCAGTGGTCTGTGAGCTCTCCACCCTACTTCCCACACCAGCTCCTGATTTCCTCTGAAGTACAATGTACTAATCCTTCCTGGTTGTTAAATCTGTTCGCACAACCTTCCCTAAATCGCTGACTTTCCTCTTTTTGTCCTTGTGTTACCCTCTTTACTTGGCCCAGCTGGTCCAGACTTTCCCTTGTCTGGTTTCCATTAGAGACCTCATTTTCTACAAAAAGTCCTTTTCCTGAGTGACCCAGTCCTAAACTGTCCTCTTATCCCACCAGTTCAGCCTGTGCCCCTTTCATTAGTCTCAAGCATTGGCCATGTCACTGCCTGGGTACTAACAAGGAACAGAGAGCACAACAGCACCTCTCTCCCCATTTCCTGTGCAGGTATCTGCATCCTTAGAGACTGCAGCCCTGAGCCACAATCACAAGTGAAGCCCTGCGCAGCTCCAGGCTGGAGAATGTGGGCCAGGAGGTTGTATTTACCAGGGATGTTCCAAATTTGGCTGCACAAGTCATTGAGCAGCCGAACCTGGCATTGGTGCTGGCACTGAGGTGAGCCCAGGCTTGGGCAGGAGACCTCTAGTAGTCTTTTCCATCTGAGACTCCCCTGTGAAACTATTGCTGAAATTCAGAGCTTCGTATTTACCATCTCATAACTCACATCACAGTGAAGGGAATTAAATTCAATGATGGGGAATTTTGAACTGATAGGACACATTCTTCCTGCTGCAAGGTTGCAAGAAGGTGTACTTATGGATGGATCACAACAATTATACCAGGAAACGCTTAAAATATTAAACTAACAAACCCCAGCCACCTGCAACCTCTCTCAGGACCACTCAGCCTGCTTCTGCTCCTAGAGGAATAGAAAGGGAGACTTCTTGGTAGTAGATTTCCCCCACAAGAGAAGCAGCTGACAGTGGAAGATACCTGGACTGCCTGGACTATGTGACTGAGAGGGGCTCATGATTCATCCTTTAAATACACTTGTTTCAGGCTCAGGTCCATGCTTTTCCCTCCATGCTGTTGCTCTCTGAGGCCTCACTGCCATGGACGGGGGTCTGTGCTGGCAGTGGGTGGTTTTGTCTTGGTCACCAAGTGATGCTACAGGAAATGCTTTTCCAGCAAATTTTTGATCCTTGAATCTTTCAGATTCAGATGGTTAGAACCCATTTGGGCACAACTCTGAGTAACCTGATCTAGCTTCAGAGAAGGGTGTTATGAGTGGTAGGGAGTCTGAAGGGTAGAAAGAGCTTTAAAGGCCAGAAATAACTGCTGTTTCTTCTCCTGTGTGTCTCCTTTTTCCTTCTCTTTTACCTCCTCCCTGGTGCTCAGGCCCAGAATGCCATTAGAAGCCTTGAAGGCCTTGAGGGGCTAGGGCAGCTGACAACTCTGCACCTGCGGGACAACCAGCTTGAGACCCTGGATGGATTCTGTAGTAGCATGAAGTGCCTGCAGTACCTCAATCTACGGTAGGTCCTCCCTGCTCTCTGTCAAGCCAAGAGACTCCTTCATCAGGCTATACTCCCATTTAGGTCTTTAGGATTTTCTGGTTCCTTTGGAACTTGAAGAGCTGATGGGAATGGGTTGATCTTCGCCGTCGTTAATTGGTGTTCAGTGCTCAGCTTTCTAGCAGTATAACAGCCAGGACCTTTCCTGGCCTTCTCAGAAAACAGCTACCTCTTCAGTCACTCTCAGACCCCACCTCATATTTTTTCTTCCTTGCCATAGCTCCTTGGGATCCCTCTCTGCGTGTTCTCTGTGTCCTGGACATGACCACAAGTGCCCTTTCTTTTCTGGCATTTGCCATACAGGGCGATGGCGATATCAGATGATTCAGTGGTCTGTTTGAGCACAGAGAAATCCAGAGATGTCCCTTTTGTCCCTCAGTGTGGGGAGCTGCAGACAGATCTGGATCTTAGATCACAGCTGTGTGGTCTATGTCTATGGTCTATCATGCTGCTAAGTTTTGCTTTGTCTGTCTTGTCAGCCTTCTGTTCCAAAGGGACCTCACTACTTGCATGTGTCTCTTTCCCCTGCCCTTGGTGCTTCCTCTTCTTCAGGAACAATGGCATCAGTAGCCTTCAGGAGGTGGCAAAACTGCAGGTCCTCCCCATGCTGCAGGCACTGGTGCTGTTGGACAATCCATGCTCTGATGAACCCAGTTACCGGCTGGAGGTCCTGGTCCTGCTGCCACACCTGCAACGCCTCGACAAGGAATTATTTGAGCAAGATGAGCGAGCAGAGGCAAACAAAATCCGTCAGGAAAGGCAGGAGGAAGAAAAGGTGAGAACAGCATGGTGGGGGGGAGGAGAAGGAAGTGAATGGAAAGAGAGAGGATCAAGCATGCTGATCAAGCCTCTCCTCCTCTAGATTACATGAGGAGAAGGCTGAGGGAGGTCAGTCCCAAGGGCAGAGGAGCCTGCAGCACAGGCCGGGCTTCGCAACCTGATTGCAATGGCCAGCATCGCAACCCTACTGCCATTCCTGACCCCACTAGCAGAATTGAGCAGCAAAAGGGGAAAAGAAGTCAGGCATGGACTTGTTTAACTTCTCCTTCGTTCCTTCTTCAGGAAATGGAAGGATCTCTCCGGGGTGATGTGACTGAGTGACCCTCGGTTTTAATACCTCTTCCCAGAGCAAGTCAAGACTTGGAAATGCCTTCCCCCCCATGCATGTAGCTGGGAAAGTGAGACCTGCAGGTAGCAGAGCTGCCTTCACCTCATTTTGCCCCTGGAGAAATGGGAAGGGCTACCCACCCTGGTCCTAGAAGCTGCCCTGAGCTACTGCAGTGTTTTTGCAGTCACTGCACTCATATAATCTATTCTCACTAGACCAGAGAGGGAAAAGGGGAAAAGGGAGAGTTACAGGTTCTGTGGTTGGATTTACGGCTCCCAAAAATCTGACAAGATTTTCTGATTCGAATAAAAATAATTAATGAGCCTGGAGTGACTGGAATTGTTTATCCTGCACACCCACTCCTATTCCCTGGCTCTCTCACCCTCCTCTGTCTATGTCTATCCCCTGTCTGTGTCTCTCTCTCTCTCTCTCTCTCCATCCTCTACGTGCTGTTTGCAAAGCTTTGCTAAATCCTGACTCATCGCAGCTCTGGGTCACATGCTGCTGTCCCGGCCCTATCAGGGGCGTCTCCATCCTGCTGCTGCCGCCGCCGTTGGCTTAGAGGACACATCATCTCCCCTTGAGGTCCTGCATCCCTCCTCAGCTTCGTCCTCTCTCCTTTCTACCAGCACTTTCTCAATCTCTCGTTCACCCCTGCCCTAGGAAGGTAAGTGTCTCCCCACGGCCAGCACCCTCCTCACTGCATGCGTGTTTCTGCTTCCCACCATCTGCCCTCCAAACCCCACAGTCACTTTGGGGTCCCTGACAGAGAAGGACCACGGTGAGCGGCATTAACAACTATACTCCCCTCACTTCCTCCCCCTGCTCCTCCCACCTCTCTCTCCTCACCCCCACCCTTCTCATTTTTCTTTCATATTTTAATTTCAGGTACTCCCTCCTTCCCTACCCCCGGCAAGCATCGTTTCAGATGTGAATATAGGGAATTGCAGGAGGGGGGCAACCAGCAAGGCTAGGCGGTGCTCCCAAGGGCATTGCCGGGACGTGCGGCGGGATGGAGCTGGACCTGGGGGAGGGGGGTGGCAGTGGGGAGGAGGGAAAGCTCAATTTTGGGGAAAGGACCCAGCCTCAGAACAGACCAGCCCCCCTGCCCCCGGTCTCCCGAGGTGTTGACATAAACACAGGCGCTCAGCTGGGTCCCAGGGAGAGGGAGGGAGGAGAGGGGATGTTTTCTTATCTGCACAGCCCCACACCACACAGGGGAGGGGGGGGGCAGCAGGGAGAGGAGGTGACAGTCAAGCAAGCAATAGCTGCATCAGCCACCACACTGCAGCAGTGCGGGCTTCCTGGGAGCAGTGCCCAGCCCGGGGGAATAGCAGTGGCGAGATGATGCCCTGGCGACACGCAGTGCCACGAAGCAGTGCCCACAGGAAGGCAGCGTGGCAGTGACAGTCTCCTGGGGCACTCTGCCCAGCCCCTGTTCAAGGGAGGCTGCCCAGCCTCCAACCTGGCTCCTCTCTCCTCCTCACTGTGGTCTACAGGCTCTTGACTATGGCTCCATCCCAATCCCTTATCCAGGCTTATCCGCCTCTGACCTCCTTTCAGGACAGTGCAGCTGATGCCAGGGATTTCAGGGTGGTTCTTTGTGCTGCTCAAACGCGGGGGGACACGGGGCAGCAACACAAATGGAGAAAGGGGTGTGAAGGGCTAGAGAGGAGATCAAGTGAGTGATGGGGTGGGGCAGGCAAGGCTGGATTTGGGCTTGTCATTTGGCTTCCTTGGAGCTGGCCCCAACAGGGGCAGGTGGATGTGGGCAGAGGGATGTGAGTGACCATGGGCAACATGACCACATAAGCAGATAGGCACTGCATCTGGCACAGGTCTTGCTGTCAAAGATCATTTTAATGGGGTCCTGTTCCTCTCTCCCCCACGGAGGCTGTAGGGGCATGGCCAGGACACTGCTGCAAAGGAAGCTTGCAGCTGCAGAGGCACAGCTCTGGAGGAAGTTCCCATGGCGTGTGCCAGATGGCGTGAGGAGTGCTGCCAAAGCGGCTGATGGGGGATCCCAGCCCAGATGGACATGGTGGAGGGCCCTGCGCAGGCTCCAGAGAGCTCTGGTGTCGCGGACTGAAACGCCCCAGTACGGGAAGCTCTTGCTGAAACTTCAGAGCAGTGTGATTTCCTCACATCCATGTGATTTCCACCCACCCAAGGCAATGGGGTTGACTCCAGCTTCCCCCAGCCTGCTTCTTAGCTCCCCTCAGTGCTATGATGTGCTATTTGCAGCACCCCACTCACCGCACACACCCTCACCCCACGCTGACCCCCTGTGCTGGCCATACCCCTGCCAGATGCTTACATGTACCACGGCGTGGTTATGTCTGTGGCCCTGTGGTTACCCCAGGTCCGGCCTCTGCACCAAATTTTGTGTGGGTCTGGCTCTGCTCAGGGTTGAGTGAATCATCTGTGGGAGTCGTGGGAGGAAACCTGGCAGGGTTGGGGGTGTGGGGTGACATGCACCTTGCTGCTCCTCCCTCTCCAGGGGGATGCAGCTCCCCAGCATTGCATGGCCCCATGGCCGGGGGAATAAGAAGGTGGGATGGTGGAGAACTAGTTGCTTTGGACCCCCTAGGAAGCAAACTTCAGCAAGAGAAGCTCTTTCAAACAGCCATCCTCACCCACCAGCCTGTTTGCCATTTCAGGTTTAACCAGGCACCCCGAAATGCTAGGTTTCTTCACCCTCCTCATCTGACAGAGACGCCTCCCGGTCTCACCCATTTCCCCATCACAGGAGCGGAGCCTGTGTTCAGGCAGGGCCAGGTCTCCCCTCCCTTCAGAGCCCTCTCTCCCATGTCTGAGGCACTGTGGCCTTCAGCAAGATGGCTCCTCTGGCTGCTGGCCTCCTCCGCACTCCCGTCACCTCAGCACAGCCTGACCTGGCAGCTCATGAGGGAGATGGGAAGGCTGAGCTGGGTGCTCGGCCAGGGGGTCTGCGAGAGCTGGGCTGGGGCATTTCTCCCCACCGCAGGCTGGAGAGGGGCTGAGGGTCCCCGCGGGACGGCCA